TTCTGAGAATGGCCTATAAGGGTGTTAGTAAACTCAATGGATTTATTAAAGTACAGAAAGATAAATTACCTTACCATCTTCATAATGACGTCGTATATAAGATTGATTGCAATGATTGTGATTATTCTTACGTAGGGCAAACTAGTAGAAGTTTAATAACTCGTATTAAAGAACAAAGAAATCATATTAACAGGAATACTACTCAACATTCTGTCATAACGCAACATCGTTTAGAATCTTCTCATGATTTTAATTGGAATTCAGTACATATTTTGGACAAAGAAGAAACCTTTAATAAAAGACTTATTTCTGAAATGATACATATTAATATGCAAAAGAATGGTTTAAATCTTAAAAATGACACTCAAAATTTAAATCCTTTATATACTGAATTGTTCTCATAATTCGTGTTGTTTTCAATTATCTCTGTTTAAGTTTGTTTAATTGTGATTCTTTCTTTCTTTTAATGATGTAATGTTTATTGATTTTTCCTTTTTGACTTTGTGTACAATTTTCCATTATACTGCTCATGTTTCGATCACTTTGCATTTCAATCTTGAAGGAATAACATCTCTTATATATAATTTTATAATTTTATAGATTTTCATGTGAGTATTACATTGATATTGTTTTCATAATATTTTTTAATTTAGATTCGTTTTTTTTATTTTTTCCTTTAGTTTTCTGAACAGTTTAATGGAATTTTACAATATTTCAACATGAGATTGCTATCGACACAATCAATTCTTGACAATCATGTGAGTCTTTTAATTTTAAAATGTTAGACTATTTTAACTTCATATAAACATCGTTTTTTTTTAAAAAATTTTTACAGTTAAGCTTTCACTTAGATGAACAGGAATTGATAGTTTGAACAACATCTTATGCTTGCGATTTTATTATATTAATATCTTTATTTATATATTGATAAGGACCCGAATATAGGGTCGAAACGTTTATAATTACTTTGTATTTATTGAATTAAAAATTTTACACACGACGTTCTTGTGTTGGCTCTTAATTGGCTATTATTTCTTAGTATATTGATTTAATCATATGAGCCTATAAACTATACTGTTTTATTTTAATTAAAATACTAGTTTATAATTTGGTATCGTCTAATCTCCGTTTATTAAATATTAAGTTATAAACAAATACATATCAGTGACGAATAAATCATAATTGTTTAATTAATAAATCAATATATAATTTCGTTTTTGCTTAATTGATTGCGTGAAAACATTGCATTTTTATTTTACATTCTTTCGTAATATTATTTTTTTATAACTAATAAGAGAACAGAGCTACGAGCCATAGATTCGTTAAAATCATTAATTTATTTTTTTATTCTTTTTATTATGATTGAAAATATTATAAAATAATTTTAATGTAAAGATAATGTATACTTACTCATCAGATTTATTGAACTCTTCCGGGGGGAGAATCACTCGATTGACAGTTCTGAAATAGAAAAAGAAAAATGAGAGAAACATAATAATATATTATTTTAAATATATTATTAAATATATTTATATATTTAACGACCACTTATACTTACTTAAAAATTTGAAAAATATAACGATTTGAAAGAAAGAAATATCCACAATAATAACAACGTTCTACTTCCAGCAACGAACCAAACGAAACTGACGACAATGAATAGGGGGACTTTGAAAAAGACCGTTAGAATCTTTTCATATACACACATTGAATCGTAATTGTGTGTATTATGTATGTGTGTCCGAAAATCGGGTTTGTATACCTGCGCTTGAATTTCTGCGCACAGCTGTCGAGAGCATTCAAGCGGCATTTATACAGAGAGATATATATACGTATATATAGGGTGGCTCATTTTAATCGACGCACCCGAATATATCCTAAAATACGCCAGCTATAAAAAAATGTTTCAAATAAAAATGGAATGGTGTCAAGGGGGACACGTTTTAGTCACATTGTTTTTTTTCTAAGTGGAGGCGCTAAAAAGATATGAAGGTCACCTCCACTTTTTTAAATGGAATTATGTAATTTTTTTTAGATAACGTGATTCCTCTAACTATTTTTCATATAAAAGTATTAAGGTAGAGATACCAAAAAACCAATAGTTTTCGAGATATTTTACACTTTATTTTGGTACATTTTGACACAATATGTTAAATAACTAGCTGACTGAAGTTTGGAACGTTCTTGGAACGAATTTTTTAAAACGATTTCTCCCGTTTCTCCTTTGGCACAGATGTTCCTCTGCATGCCAGAAAACAAATAGAAAACACCCCGATCGAATACATGTGTCAGAAGCCATCCTTATGGGTGATAAACCACCCTCGAAATAACTTAATG